TGGATGTGGTATCAGAAATTTTTGGATATCGCTCTTAAAAGTCGCGGAGAACCTAATGGGTAACCGAGGCTCCGGTTCGACGTGCAGGAGAAGGAACGGGGTGGCGTCTGATACTCCCTCCCGCCTCACCCAGGCGGGAGCAGTGAGCGATGATTACCCCCTTAAAAAAATCGATCTCATAAGGATTTGATAATGTATCAATGAGAAGGTATAAAACATTTGTTAAAAGAGTTTCTTGCTCGTTCTTCTTCATTAGAAACTACATTTTGGAACGAGTGCCTAGCTTCACTGATAGAAAGACAGACGGACAATTAAATTTTTGACGTTTCAAAAGTGCATTAATATAGATTAATTGAAATAAATGCTTTGACTTGGCCTTTGACTTTGATTTTATACAAGTTGTGTTTATATTCCACTTTGAGGTTTGTGCTATTAAGATCAGTAATTAAAAAATACTTTATGTAATTAGCTTAAAGACTCAGAGTATTTTGTGATAGTTTCAACCGGCCCATCTGTCAATCAATGTCCATTAGGTAAGGCCTATGTTGAACAGTAGATATCTTGTAGCTGATAAAATAATAATGATGATTAGCACCGACTAAGTCCATTCTATAAAAGACAAACTAGTTAAAAATTCTTGAAATTAATATATCGTCGAAAGTATTTAATTTTGTGAGAAAAGAAAAAATACGTGTCTACTGTTTTAAATTAATGTATGTACCAGACGGACGTTAAAACAAAATTTAGGAAACTATCCTATTGTCACTTCTATTTTTTCTACATCCTCATCGTTGCGTTACTGATGTATCTGTGCAAAGACATTTCTTCACCCTCGTAGTAGTAGACAGGCAGATTACCATAGAGAAGTATGTTTCTATTTAAATTCTTTTTAAAACGCAGTCAGTGGGAACTGAGGTTGTCAGCCGATAACCTTCAAAGCGTTTAACGTTCGGATTTCAAATCGATTCTGTTTTTAAATACCTATCGTTTTGTCTTACTGCCAGTGTTATATAGCTCCAGACTGTTTTATAAAGGAATTTAGATGTTCATACTGTTGGGTTTGGATTTGAAATGTAGATGACGTACCGTAGTGATGTGGAATAACACAATTTTCAATTATCTTAAATGAGACTTCTATGATTGATCAATGATTCAACGATTAGTATTGGGTTTGTCTCGAAGACGTCGAAATAACATAACAAAACATCACGTCTTTTATCCCCGAAAGGGTAGGCAGAGGTTCACATTACGGCACTGAACGCCACTGTAATGTAACACCCTTTTTTCACTATTTATGTTATTAGTCCCATGTAATATGGAGTTCTAGAATCCGTGCTACCATTGAGAAAAACCCAGTAATACTTTGCCCGACCCGGGAATCGAACCCGAGACCCCTCGCACTTGCGACCACTCGGCCAATGAGGCAGTCGTATTATTTCGTTTTATGATAATCTTCCCGCAATTACCTAACCTTCTACACTTAAAAACAAAACAAAAAGAAAAATAATTTCGAAAATAGTTTATCTAATGTCCCGTTCAAACTTCAGTTTACGGAGTTCAGTAATTTAATTTTCTACATTACACATCGTATACAATACGCGGGCGTCGGCTGGCTCTCTGCCAGCTCCTTTAGGCTTTCAATGGTCTTAAACGTACACAATTACCAAGTCTACTCCACACTGGTATTAGATGATACGTCTTGAATTTTAACTTTATGTTCTTTGTGGTTCTTTCATGTTATACACATATTACTCATGTGGAAATGAAAACGTAATGAAGTAAGAAGCGAGTGGTCGCAAGTGCGTCTGCCGGGCAAGGGTGTCCCGGGTTCGATTCCCGGGTCGGGCAAAGTATTACTGGGTTTTTAAAAAACTCTCAGTAGTAGCACGGAGTCTGGAGAATTATGCCCGGTATATGGCAATAGGCTCACCCCTATTACATGGGACTCATAACATAAATAGTGAAAAGTGGGTGTTACATTGTACAGTGGCATAATGTGCACCTCTGCCTACCCCTTCGTGGATAATAGGCGTGATGTTATGCTCAGTAGTAGCACAGAGTCTGGAATTATGCCCGGTATATGGCAATAGGCTCACCCCCTATTACATGGGACTCATAACATAAATAGCGAAAAGTGGGTGTTACATTGTACAGAGGCATAATGTGCTCTGCCTACCCCTTCGTGGATAAAAGGCGTAATGTTATGTTATGTTATATTATAATCAGTTCAGTATAATACAGTTATTTCAAACTCAAGTCAGGAATATAACAAACTTTTCCATCGAATCGTGTCCCATTTTCTCAATAGGTATAGCATTCTCTAAAAGATACTCGCGTAACAAAGTATACACAGCTATACTCATAACCCGGAATTCTAATCCAAAAGTCTCAAGAAATCAACATTCATTTTCCATCTCAAGTTGGAGAAATTTGTTAAAAAAGTGCCGGGAACTGGCAAATAAGTCGAGCCGGCTTGCCCGGGGCGCATATTAACGAACTCGTGTACCATGAGGTAGGGTTACCGGTATTCTAGAGCTGCTAATAATTTTGGAAATTTTGAGATCGGTACAAACCGTACACGGTTTGTAAATCCCCTTATATTTGTTATTGTCTTATAAAAATTATGTTTGTTTATTAAAGTTTAAAGACCGTTTTTTGAGCACAATGTTTGCAACTGTCAGTTGATTTGCAACAAATGATTTTGTATGCAATAGTTTTATCGTTGAAGCCGGCCATTATAAACTGCACGAAACAATCCAGAAACAGAAATACAGTTTACCTTTAAAGATTAGTCTTTGCCTTATACAATGAATAATCTATACTAATATTATAAAGCTGAAGAGTTGGTTTTTTTGTTTGTTTGTTTGAACGCGCTAATCTTCGAAACTACTGGTCCGATTTGGAAAATTCTTTCTGTGTAGGATAGCCCATTTATCGAGGGAGGCTATAGGCTATAAAATATTACGCTACGATTAACAGGCGACGAGAAGGAAGTAGCTAGAATAGAATACACACGATTGCACTAAAAACTAATATATAAATAATACAACAGGCAATCTCAATAAATCAGAAATCTATCATAGGAATCACGTACAAAATCAGACTGTTTCAATTTACTTGTAAAAGCGAACTGCATCTAGTCTAGGAGTCTAGATCCTCGTCTGTCGTCGGATTGGTCGCCACTCATGAATGTTAATTCAGTCGCAGCCACGAAACGCGACGGTAATCCAGACTATGTAGTCTGTCGTTAAGCGATTGGAGATAGTGATGGAAATTGCACCTTTTTGTACGATTCGAGAGAGAGGTGTCTATTTGTGAATGTACTTTTTGAGAGGTGAGAAAGGGAATGGTGGAGGTGTGTTGGTTTTTCTTTTGTGGTTTGGTTAGTCTTTGACGACTAGTTAAAAGTAAATTGTCCTTATATTTTTTTCTCACACAACAAAGGATCTTGATTTTGTTACAGAACTTATATAAGACGTATCACAAAGATCAAACAAACTTTAAATTAGATTAAATCTACGTCCTCAATAGTTTCGAAGTACTTACAACAACTCGAAACACACATTAACTAAAACAATCCTTTTTCAAAACACAGCACCTAAAGCACACATAAAACAAAAACAATAATAGAAAACGAAAAAAAAAACAGCTCGAGAAAACCTCATAAATTATTTCGCACGGAATACACTCGGACTGTCAAAAAGTCGAGATAAAAAATTGTATCTGCTGCACATCAGACGGGTCCTGACATATCAATCATGTGCCGAGATTGGATCACGTTTGCCTCCTACCAAGGGTTCAGATCTCGCCATGGAAATTGGTCCGGGGAATATAAGCGTGAAAAGATTCTTATGCTGTATTGGTATCTGAGATAGATCGAGCTGTGTGGTGAGGTGGAAGACAGTTAATTGTTACATTGTTCTTGTTGGGATTTGATTGTATACAAAATGTTATGTTGTAATAACGTAGTATCTGTTATCCTCAGATAAATTACTTACATCATTATCACCAGCCGGGAGATGTCTACAGAACGGTGAATAATTCGTCCTGTGTACCAATATAATGATTTGTTTTCTGAAGTTTCGATAGGCTATATAGTGTGGGTGTGTGTATGTGAAATACGATGTATAGTATGCGATCATACACAAAAAATACCGATCTTCAAATTGCACTTAGGTAACAGTTATTGCATTCATAGTACCCAAGAAAAATATCCAACCTCACTAAGTAATTTTAAAACAATCAGAGCTACACCTATTCCCACAACATAACACACATACATCAACCACAAACTAATAAAATCTAATAAAACTGTCAAACGGAACAAAGCGACAATATTTTTCCCGAAACGAAATCACTTTTCAAATTCAATATATAAAATATAAATCGTACTTTTACAGAATCGTTGCAACTAATAGCTTCGTCCAAACTCCAGGTGTTTGGCGCATCAACCGGACAATACATCGAAACAAATGGACGTACGTGATGCGAATTCCCAATTTGACCTAAATACGTGAAATGAGATGAACAAATGTTTTATTTTACGGGCAAACAATGCCACGGGCTGACTTTATAGCTGTTTACTACAAGCCCCTCACTTTCACTTAAAACGTTTGTCTTAGAAGAACCTTTTAATCAATTTAGTTTTATGTTGTTTTTGTTAAAGTGTGGGAGAGCCATGCTTCGGCATGAATGGGCCGGCTCGACCAGAGTGATACCACGGCCGAGCAGAAAACCGCTTTGAAGCAACGCTTGCGTTGTGTTTTGTCGTATCTTATAAAATACAGTTAAGACACTAGCAAGCTTTATTCTGGCTGAATCAGTAATATCTCATCTCTTAACTTATAAATTTAATAACCATACTTTAATAAACAAATCATTCAACGAACCCAAGGTCCGTAATCATTAAAATAACACATCTGTCACTACATCTGACCACATCATCAAAACTGTTACACTAATAAATCCTTTCGCACCACTTTACCGTCAAATATACGAGCTTAATATAAACACTGCGTCTTTATTACTGTGACACGTGACGTCACTTCATCTGAGGACAATAAACTCGAATAGTGTTGGCCGTCTGTATTCGCGTATTCGGCAAAGATCCGGAAAAGCGGAAAGGTTTCGGAACGGGAATACGAAATGCGGATATTGCGAAGGGCGGGCATCGAAGCGTGTACCTTCTTATTTGGACGTACGGCTATTAGATACGAACGGTGATTCGGTAATTTCGACCGTTTATCTGATGCGGATGTTTTCGGTTTTGATTTTTTGTTTATTGGTTTTCGAGATAACATTTTTGGAGGAAAACGAGCGAATGTTGGGTAATAAAGAAATTGCTCACAAAGCTTTAGAATTGTAAAGATTTTTATACTTTTACGATCTTGTCAAAATAAACTGACAAGAAAACTAGAAATGATTTTCATATAGCCTTTCTTAATTTTTTCAGATACGTAATGGGCACGAAACGCTAGACCAACAAAACACACACAGACGTTGTATCACAGACTATAAAAAAGCCGAAAACCAAAAAGAAATCACTTTTTAATTAATTAATTATGTGATGTGATGTGTAAAATGTGTCCCTATCAATTATTCACACGTTACCATATTCATATCAATAATAATAATTAAACCAATACAGTTTATTATAATTATTTTGGGAGCATGAAACATTTTTATGCATCTAAAAGTATCTACGTGATTAAAGTATGTGTCCAATTAGTTATTTTAGTTTAATAGTTGACTAAAACCTGTGGGGTGAATGTCACATGTGTGTTATAATTATTAATATTTCGTCATTTGTAAGGTTAAGTGCCGTTACGAGTCAAAATAGATATTAATGAGCTCACACGTGGTTTACTATGCTTATCCATGCGGGTTATGGAGCAAAAAAAACAAAAAGAGTTTTTTTGTGATTACCCTCGCCATTCGATTCAAACTACCCGTTACGACTACTGTAGCATTGTCGGTTCTACTAAGAAATATAGACTTACGTTGTGTTTGTATATTATGTTTATTTTAAACATTAATACTCATAAAATAAGAATAATTTTGGCAAGTTGTATTTGGACAAGTCGAATAATCGAATTTAACGCCAGTCTATAGTCAAACTCTGTGTCACTTTACATCTGCCTTTCACCGATTTTATAATTCAAGAAATTCTAGTCACATGCTTAAGCCGTGGTACAATAATAATGTAAGAATAAGAATCTATACAAACAAAACGCTATCGTGAAATCATTAAAAAATGACAAGACACCTCCAGTTTTATCGGAACACCATAAATCAGACAAAAATCGTACACAATAATCAAAAATGCTTTACTTATAAAAAATGCTTTCGAAAAATTTTCACACCAAAAATATTATTATCGTTGAAGGAAAAAAATTATACACGTGACATCGGACGCGTGATGCAAATTGTAACATAGGACTTACCAAAAAATGTCTTCATATTTGACACGTCTTACAGCGTGTATGGAATCGAAATGAGCCAAAAGTTTACGATGATTTATGCCGTAGTCTTATGTAATACTATGTATGTTTGACACCATGGATTTAGATAAGACTGGGAGTATTAGGGTTAGGGGTTTTGCAACCATGAAGATGAATGTTCTTAATGCGTTCTAAGTTGTGAAGTAATCTGGTTGTGACAATTTGATTTCATTATATAGGTTATTATTATTAGGCATTATTTGGTATTATTCTTTTTTATTAGGTACTATTTAAGTGTGGGAGAGCCATGCTTTAGCACGAACGGGTCAGCTCGACCGGAGCGATACCACGGCCTCACAGAAAACCGACGTGAAACAACGCTTGCGTTGCGTTTCGTCGTGTGAGGAAAGTGAAAAGTGGTTGTTACATTGTACAGTGGCATAATGTACACCTCTGCCTAACCCTTCAATGATAAAAGGCGTGATATTATGTTATTATGTTTATTTATTTAATGTTACAATTTATTTATGAGTGTTGATCATACTTTAATCATGTATTTCGTAAAATTGTATATAATTAATACATTTATGATTCACGATGTGAAACGATCATGAATACCGAACGAGATATATATTAAAATTAAATTTATTGTCACCATTCTGAATATGTAATACGAAATTCTCAAGTTTATGTATAAAAATGTTGATTAGAATATTTGTAATATAATATCACATAACATAACATCACGCCTTTTATCCCCGAAGGGGTATGCAGAGGTGCACATTATGCCACTACAATGTAACGTCCACTTTTCACAATTTATGTTATGAGTCCCATGTAATAGGGGGTGAACCTATTGCCATATACCGGGCACAATTCCAGACTCCGTGCTACTACTGAGAATTTTGTAAAAACCCAGTAATACTTTGCCCGACCAGGGAATCGAACCCGAGACCCCTTGCCCCGACAGTCGCACTTGCGACCACTCGGCCACCGAGGCAGTCAGAGGCAGTAATATAATATTATTAATAAATTGTATTAACATAGTTACGTAGCTCAAGCTAAGTATTGTTACCTAAACTAATAACCTAAACTTAACAATAAATACCATTTTATTCGGTTAACCATTATACGTCTTAACCATGAATTCTACAATAATAACTACCCAGCAATATTTTTACAGTCTCACATCAAGCTGAACACAAAACTCTTTAATAAATTTTGAACTCTATTACAAATAGTTAAGGTAGAAAACTATTAAAAACCCTAACGTATCCGATTTACTTGACTTGCTACCGTCTATACAATACGTCTCCAACAAGGAGAAATACCCTCGTTTAGCTCATAAACTATAACCAAACGGTAATTTTTGTCCAATTTAGGAGTCCAAAATACCTAACAATTAATTGGGCAAGGTCAAGAATACAGTTAATCAGCCCTATAATAGGCTTGGCATGTTTTTAGAACATTCGCAGGGCTAACAAGAATGTAATGGTACACATAGAAATAAAGCATAAGGTTAAAAAGGGAAAATTACTAATAGAGGTATATCAGTTACATTTAATAAGCAAATTTATTGTGAGAGTTAGTAAAAAAAAAGTTTCTAGCATTTTTTGTACTTAACTCGTCGAGTACCGTATTTATAGACACAATTAAAGAACAATAGGTTGCGGTCTCCGGTGACCGCTTGGTGTTTGACAGTTTAATTGAAAAACAGTTGAAAAACATTGTTCTATATTAATGATAATCGCCCTTTTGTGCTATAAACAACGTCAAGTGACAAAATATGTTTTTGTTCGACATAATCTTATATCTTATCTTATACTATTACCTCTATATAAAGCGGAAGAGTTTGTTTTTTTGTTTGTTTGTTTGAACGCGCTAATCTCCGTAACTACAAGTCTGATTTGAATAATTCTTTTAGTGTTGGATAGCGCATTTATCGAGGATAGCTATAGGCTATAAAACATCACGCTACGACCAATAGGAGCTGAGTAGAGCGTGTGAAACCGCGCGGAAGTAGCTAGTAATGTTATAATAGAATAAAAAATAACAACAAAAATGTTATAAGTCCCATGTAATAGAGGGTGAACTTATTGCCGGGCACAATTCCAGACTCCGTACTACTACTGAGATTTTTTTAATCCAGTAATATGTTCTTTGCCCGACCCGGGAATCGGACCCGAGACACCTTGCCCGGCAGTCGCACTTGCGACCTCTAAGCCAACGAGGCAGTCAGTAAAAAAGAACAAATTTTATACAATTCACCATCAATAATAAATTCAAGTCGTAAAGTCATAACAAACGCAATAACATCACCGGAATATAACAGCAAAATGCACAACACAATACATTTAAAATTTTTAAAACTTTATCCACCATTTATTACACAGTATGGCAAAATATAAGATTTATAAGTCAATCTGTTTTGTGAAATATTTCCATAGTACGCTACAATTCCGTTCGTATCCGATTCGCTTTTCCGAAATTTGCATTTTGCGTGACCAAAATCTATCGATGCCTATTCGATAGTTCAATTTTAAACTTATCCTTATTACGATTCGAGTACATTATGTGGTACGTTTTGAATGTGACCCCAATAGTAGATAGTCATTTCTGTTAGAATTTGTATAAATCGTACGTGCCTATTTGCTTAGATGTACATGCACATAGACAAGACTTCATTTTACATTTTTTAGCTTATATTTTATTTTATTTTTATTTTTAATTATGTTATGAGTGTTCTGCTCAAAAATAAATGGTTTTTCTTTCTTCTTTCTTTCTTTAGTTGCATTGGGATTTGCAGCTAAATTTAATCCAAGTTCGATGTGCATGATGATAATATTCAATCAGTTATGCTTAAGGTTCTAAAGGCTTATTGTATGTTTAACAATAATTTTTTTAACACAAGGCCTTAATAGTTGTAAAACATAATATAACATAACATCACGCCTTTTTAACCTCGAAGGGGTAGGTAGACATTACAGCACTCAATGCCACTGTACAATGTAACACCCACTTTTACTATTTGTGTATGTTATGAGTCCCATGTAATAAGGGGTGAGCCTATTGTCATATACTGGGCACAATTCCAGACTCCGTCCTAATACTGCGATTTTTTTTAAATCCCAGTATATTTTGCCCTTCCCGGCAATCAAACCCGAGACCGCTTGCCCGGCAGTCGCAGTTACGGCCACTCGGCCAACGAGGCGGTCAATTAATTGTAATAAAATAACTGTTAAAATAGAATAAGATTTTGTTAAAAGGGAATAACAGACTTATCTTCTAAAAATATGGCCCGTCCTAGACGAACCGACAAAATTTTAAGCACCAATTTCATGCCAATCACAGCAGTAACCCGATTACGTGTCATAACGAAGTCACTACCCGAAAATAGTCCATACAAGTAATAAAATTCCATCATAAAACCTCAACGATATTGAGGAGGACATAAATCCTCGTAAGACGTCGCGTCGAGCAATAAATTTACATTTTAAAACTGATCACGGGGACATTACACCACTTTAATATTAGCGGGCGGCTACGGGGGGCGTGCTATATAAATTATGATGTGATTATCGACGGAATGAGTTATGGTACGCCCCTAGTTAGACGGCAAACTTCATTGTGTTTGATTTAAAACCCCTTTTGTTTGCGGATTTTTTAGTTTTCCAAAAGTTTTTATGGTAATTGAGATGTTCAGCGGCAATTTCGAGTTAATGGCGTGTTCCTTCGGGATCCGAGAGGAAATTTTCGATTTATGAACTTGCGAGGTTTTATGGAGAGGCTTTTTTACTTTTACATGGATTAAGTGTTGTGAATAATAGGGAGACTTTTAGGTTATTATAAATGTAAAGTTT